TCACATCTTCACTTCTAGTTCTCTTGCTCTTTCCACCACATCAGCAGTGACTTCCTCCACTTAAGTCTTGGGCCCCTAAAAGTCATCCATGAGGACTAAAATCAACTTCTTGCAAATTTCTGTAAATGTTGATCTTTTTACCTTCTCTCATGAATCACAAATGCTTGCAATGGCATTCGGAATGGTGAATCCTTTCCAGAAAGTTTTCAACTGACTTTGCCGAGATCCATCAGAGGAATCACTACCTCTAGGAATCACTACAGCCTTATGAAATGTTATTTATTGAATAAGATTTGAAAGCAAGAACTACTCCTTAATCATGGGTTGCAGAATAAGTATTGGATGTGCAGGCATTAAAACCAACATTACTCTCCTTATACAACTCCATCAGAGCTCCTAGGTGACCAGATGCATTGTCAATGAGTATTCGTATTTTGAAAAGATTTTCTTTTTCTGAGCATTAAGTCCCAACAGCAGGCTTCAAATATTCAGTAAATGATGTTGTAAACAGATGTACTGTCATTCAGGCTTTGCTGTTCCCTTTTCAGAGCATAGATAGGATAGATTCAGCAAAAGGGCCCTAGGATTTTTAGAATGGTTAATGATCACCGGCTTCATCTCGAAGTCACCAGCCGCATTAGCCCCTAACAATAATCGGCCTGCCTTTGACGCTTTGAAGCCAAGCATTGACTTCTGTCTAAGAAAGTCCTAGATGTTATCTTCTTCTAATAGAAGGCTATTTCATGTACATTGAAAACCTGTTGTCTGGTGTGGCCACCTTCATTAATTACCTTAGCTAGATCTTCCAGATAACTTACTACAACTTCTACATCAGCACTTGCTGCATCACCTTGCACTTTTATTTTATGGAGACAGCTTCTTCCCTTAAATTTCATGAACCAATCTCTGCTGGCTTTCAACTTTTCCTCTGTAGCTTTCTCACCTCCCTCAATCTTCACAGAATATGAGACAGTTACAGTCTTGCTCTAGATTAGGCTTTGGCTTAAGCAAATGTGGTGGTTTGATTTTTTATCCAAGCCACTAAAACTTTCTCCGTATCAGTAATAAGGCTGTTTTGCTTTCTTATCACTTGTGTGCTCACTGGAGTAGCACTTTTAATTTCCTTCAGTAACTTTTCTTTTGGATTTACAACTTAGCTAACTAATTTGGATCAAGAGGCATAGCTTTCAGCCCGTCTTAGCTTTTGGCATGCCTTCCTCACTATGCTTAATAATTTCTAGTCTTTTATTTAAAGTTAAAGACATGTGACTCTTCCTGTCACTTGAACACGCAGAGGCCACTGTAGGCTTATTACTGGCCTAATTTCAATATTGTGCCTCAGGGAATAGGAAGGCATTGAGAGGCAGAGATGGGGAAAACACAGACATTTATCAATTATGTTCACTGTCTCACATGGGTGTGCTTTGTGGTGCCCCAAAACAATCATGATAGTAACATCAAAGGTCACCGATTATAAGTCACCATAAGAAAGATAATAATAATCAAAAAGTTTGAAATATAGGGAGAATTACCAAAATGTGAGAGACACAAAGTGAGTACATGATGTTGGGAAAATGACTTTCTCCATGCAGGACTAACACAAACCTTCCATCTGTTAAAAAAAAAAAAAAAAAAGAAAGAAAACAAAATTAGTATCTGCAAAGCACAATACAGAGAAGTGCAATAAAATGAGGCAGGCCTTGTGGCTCCTCAATGATTGAGAAGTATTCACCCTAAAATAATCTAATGAAATTTATCTTGTGAACACCCATTTGCAAGTAGAAAAGCAGATCTAGTTTAAAGCTTCAAGAATCACCCCCTTATACCAGACTTGGTAAGAAATCCAGAAAGTTACTTTCACCTCTCAATCCGTCAAGGTTAAGCCCTTTAGCCTCTGTGTCATTATAAACTCTCAAGAACATGGAGGAAATTTTAAAGCAGAAATCCTTCTCCTTCTCCACTTATCCCCATCTCCAAAACACCTTAGAGCTGGTTAAATTAGAAGTTAACAGTATTTTATATGCTTCATTCAAAGAATGAACATCAAATTAGCTCCTGATTTGCAACATTTAGTATAATCGCATTGAAAATGTCTAATTTAAACTGGAGGAGGAAGATGTTTATTCTACCCAGGACAACCTAATTGTTTCTGAAATAACAGGCTAAGCCAAAGTCCACAAGGGGAGGCAGCATAGCACAAGTGTAAAGGGCAGTGGCTCAAGTCAGACAGCCAGAGTCTGCAGCAACCACTACTTAAACTTGGGCAAGTTAACCACTCTGTACCTCAATTTTCCCATCTGTACATTGGAAATAATGCCTCTCTCCCTCACTGGATTCTTTATAAACAATGGAGTAAAGTACCTTAGCAGTGCTCAATAAATGTTTGGAGCAAGTATCATTACTGTACCTCAACATTCAGCTCTAGGTTCTCATGTTACCAAGTCAATTTCTTGTTTGTTGATGGAACTTATATATTGCATTAGATAAAGGAGGTAAGGGGTAGGCAAACTTTCTCCATAAAGGGCCAGACAGTAGTAGTTTTGGCCTTGCTGGCCAAATGGTACCACTGATGCAGCTATTCAACTCTGCCATTGTAGCACAAAAGTGGTCAGAGATGACATGAAAACAAATGAGAATGGTAGCTCTTTCCAAAACTTTATTTAGAGAAACTAAAGTTTAATTTCACGTAATTTTTATATTATACAAAATATTTAAAACCATTAAAAATATAAAAACCATACTTAGTAGGCCATACAAAAATAGGTAGCAGGCCAGATTTGGCACATGGGTGGTGGTCTGCTGATCCCTGCTCTAGATTAACAAATTTGTGGGCTTTGGAAGCTTTGTGGGACAGAGAGGCTTGAAACACAGGTTGGTGGTGCAGAAGAAAGAGGAAACTGTTAATAGAAAAAAGATTTAATGCTGTCCTCCATTTATCAACACTGTATTCGACTATGTGCAAAACATTTTTGCTGCTGGAATCAAAGATTCAGAAGTGACAGTTTTGCTCTCTTACACATCTCCATGGTACCTTAGAAATGGCAAGTCTTCCTTCAAAGTACAGTACACCCGTTCGTGCTCATCTGTGAGGCAGGTAGTTTCTTTGGCGCCTCTACCTACAGCTGAGGACAAATAAGCATTATTTATCCTGATCACATATGCTTCTTCCCCTCTCCAGTAATCCTACTACCAGCTTTTCTCCTGGTCTCCAAATTATTCTGTTTTGCATTACCATTTTGGTGATAATACTTGGGGTGATATACTAAAAGTCAACTTCTCCCATCTTTTAAAAAATTACCATTTTAATTAGTCTTCAGAGATACCCTCTCTCTTTTAATAGGTTACATACTTGTGACTCCTGTGGTTTTTTTCTGTTTCAATCCAGGCAGAAACTTGTCCCTAGGAGGCAGGATAAACAGATCTATCTCAAGGCAAAAAAGACAAATCACATAAACATTTTTTCAGAGCAAATGAAAAAACATTTGATCCAAAAGAACATAAACAAATAAAAACAAAATATAGTGCTCTATTATATACTTCAGTTTGTTATAAAGATTGTGGATTTGAAAAAAATCAGCAGAAACCTACACGTCAATGTCAGAATAAGTGAAGCATAGAATAAAAATTAACATAGCTAATAATTAAGAAAACAAGGATTCCTTGTAAATATTAACTATTAAGAAGTAACAAGAAAGACATCCATCGCATGTGTTTCCTTGTAAAAAAAAAATTATACTATTTGTCTATTAAAGACAGCACAAAAAAGTCAGAGTAAAAAGTAGTACTCTTGATGTTTAATATCATCTCATCAGCAAAATCCCTTATCAAATTGGAAGGGAGGACAGAGACTCAAAAGAGTAATTAAAATGGGTTAAGACAGTAAAATCTATGGTTGAGCCAAAAGGGTACCAAGGCCAGGCACAGTGGCTCATGTCTGTAACCTAAGCACTTTGGGAGGTAGAAACAAGCAAATCACTTGAGGTCAGGAGTTTGAGATCAGCCTGGCCAACGTAGTGAAATCCCATCTCTATTAAAAATACAAAAATTTGCTGGCTTGCGCCTATAATTCCAGCTACTCAGGAGGCTGAGGCAAGAGGATCGCCTGAGCCCAGGAGGCAGAGGTTGCAGTGAGCCAAGATCGCACTACAGCACTCCAGTTTGACAGATGAGCAAAAACTGTGTCAAACAACAACAACAACAATAAGGTACTGAGAGCTTATAATGTTGAAGGTCTTAAAGAAGTACATGAACTTGTTGGTATTTGGCAAAAACAAAAACAGGCAAAAAAATCAGCAGATAGACCTAAAAAAAAAATGCCAATGTAGTAATTTCCTTGCCATCTTCAGATTTTCCAATTGCAGTTTCAGCTATTCATGTGCAACTCTGGAAGTACATGAGAGGCAATTATAGTTCTGCTAGAGCATGGATTTGAATCCCACAGTAGGGTGGTTATACAGAAAAAAAATCACCTAAAGAATGTGTCTAGATCTCCAGCCATCTGTGATTTGCTATTTTCCACTCCTTTGTCCTTTGCCCTGGCACAGTAAAGGATTTGTAGGAAATTCTTTAAGACTTGTAGTAACACTTTACAGTTTATCATACAGTGCTATCTGGGATTCACAAACATCTCAGCATACATCCCTCTTTCCTGCTTTTCACCTATATATCAGGTTTGGAAACCTTTGAGAAAATTCATTTGGTTATAATAGATACATCTTTAAAACAAAGTAGCATCACAATTTTTATTAAAAGGTAAAAGGCAAGAAGCAATTCAATGAAATTGTTCCCTTGAAAGCTACAGGGAGAAAAATTCAATTCTGACAATACATGGGTTTAGCCTTTAGATAAAGAGTTTTACCTTATTAACTCAAAATGCACATTTTAGTTTCTAGAATTAGTTAAGAACTACTCAATATTTAGCAGCCATTATGTAAAATCAGAAAAACAAGTATTAACTCCATTGGTGGCCAATGAAGTTTTGTAATAAAAAAACCATAATATATGGTAGAAAGTATATTTTATTAATCTCATTTACAATACTGAATACAAATGCAAAATTAGGTGGTGACCCTTAATTTTCAGTCTATTTCAAAACATGGTCCCTCAGATTTAAGAATTAAGGCATATATAAGTCAAAAAAGGATGGAGAACCAAACAACCAAATTGAAAAAGACCCCAGTGATTTATTTATGCATTATGAAGTTTGAGCTACAGCCTTTATGATATTCCTTTTAGTGTTTTCTTCTGAATTTTCATCAATTTCTTTAGTAATTGAATTTTTAACCAGACCCTATAATCTATCACGATTCTTCCAATTATGAGTTGAAAAGAAACACAGGCAGATACGTATGCCAAGTATCTTAGGAAATTCATGGCATACATGGTGAGCTTTTCATATAAACTTTGAAAATTAAAAGGACTATGATATTTTTGAAATCCAAAGGCTAGATAAGACCTACCTTCCAATCATTTCTGCATTTTATGATTTCATCTAGTGATGGTAATAAAGAAATATATTCCATATTTTAACACCAGTAAGATGACATTCAAAAGAACGGCCAATAAGATTTTGTATTTTAAAACCAAAGAGAATACATCTTGAATACCTTAAATTATAAAATTCAGTTCTAAGCAGGAACTGTTACTGGGTAACAAATACTGCTCATATCAAAAGTGCTGGTGACAAAGAATTCAGTATGCCCTCCCACAAAACATGTTCACATACATATATCTCTATCGCCTGTAATAAGATTTTAAATGTTTTAAGGTGCTTAAAGTTTGCACTACAGGACTAATTCAATGAGTATTCATCTGCTGCCTCTTCATAGCAACTTCAATTGGAATGACCCACGGACAAAACTGTTGTTACTTTCTAAAATGCGGCATTTGTGGAGGTGGAGTGCCCTCTATTGGTGAGGAGGAGGACACACTCATTAGCTGCCCTGCATGTATTTTCTCATTGATTCGGAGTTCACATCCATCCTGAAGCATTCGAACTGCTATTCGGGCGATGTTCTTAGAGTCATCAAGACCACAGTGAGGCCGCCCATCATAATCCATTCCTAATTTTTCAAGCATTATTGCCAGTTTGGTTTGGCTTCTAGGAACCTGAAAAATAAACAGCTTAGTAAATATTTCTTTGGTGTTCTAAACTGTAATACATAAGCCACAGGTAAACTGAAAAATAAGAAGCTAAAAATTAATACTAATAGCTAAATAAAGCTAGGCAAAGGGCAATACCCCTGGTCAAATAAGGCAAATAAAAAAACTCAGGCCAGGCAAGAAGGCCCTGTAAATCTCAGCACTTTGAGAGGTTGAGGCGGGCAGATCACTTGAGGTCAGGAGTCTGAGACCAGCCTGGCCAATATGGTGAAATCCATCTCTACTTAAAATACAGAAAAATTAGCCAGGCGTGGTGGTGCATGTCTGTAATCCCATCTACTTGGGAGTCTGAGACAGGAGAACTGCCTGAACCTGGGAGGCAGAGGCTGCAGTGAGCTGAGATCACTCCACCACACTCCAGCCTGGACAACAGAGTAAAATTCCATCTCCACAAAAAATAAATAAAAACAAGCCTGAAATTTTCAGAGCTTCAAAATGTGATCTTAGAGTTTTAGCTAAAAATATAGACAGAATCCTCAGACATCTAAAACATCTGCAGTTTTGGGATTTGAAAAACATTTATTAAAGGGAATGTATTGTTCGGGACATGTAAGTTGAAGATCTACCTTTTTTATCCAAATTAGTTACTTTATATGGTAATCTTCTATAGTGTACTACTTTACTTGACTGATTTCTTGGATAAAAGATTATTTAGTCTTTTTGGATGGCTAAAGATAATGAAGATCAAGAATGAAAGATGATGTCATGTGATATTTTTCAAATTATTTAAAAACCTGTTCCTTGATAATTAAAAAAAAAAAAAAAAAAACAAAAAACTCACACTCCCCAAATTCCAATATACACATCTACTTTTGAGAATGATTGGCAGCTTGGTGCGGTGGCTCACATCTGTAATCCCAGCACCTTGGGAGGCCGAGGCAGGCAGATCACAAAGTCAGGAGATTGACACTCATCCTAGCTCACATGGCAAAACCCCATCTCTACTAAAAAAAAAAAAAAAAAAAAAAGAATTATTGGCTGGGCATGGTAGCCCATGTCTGTAATCCCAGCACTTGGGGAGGCCAAGGCAGGTGGATCACCTGAGGTCAGAAGTTCGAGATCAGCCTGGCCAACATGGTGAAACCCCATCTCTACTCAAAATGCAAAAATTAGCTGAGTACGGTGGCATGCGCCTGTAATCCCAGCTACTCCGGAGGCTGAGGCAGAAGAATCACTTGAACCTGGGAGGCGGAGGTTGCAGTGAGCCAAGACCACGCCACTGTACTCCAGCCTGAGTAGAGATTCCATCTCAAAAAAACACTATTATTATTGTTATATTTTCTTCATGAAATTTCTATCAAGATTTGTTACATTTTAAATTCTGTAGTTTGTACAACTATTTTGCCTGCGCATCTTGGACCTCAGCTTTTTCATCTGTAAAATGGGACTAATGACTCTACGATTTACTCATAGGGTTACTGGGATAATCACAAGCAAATGATGTAAACATCCATAATTATCTTAAGCTGTAATACTGCAATATATCTTGTACCTTCCACTAATTATCACTTGGAAAATGCACTTCTAAAAATAACTTTTCCAACACACTGGATAACTTAGGTGGAAGGGTCAAATTTCTGGAAATACGCAATTTACCAGGAACTGAATTATAAAGAAACAGAAAATCTGAATAGACCTTCACCTAAGAAGGAGACTGAATCAGTAACTGACAACCTCTAACAAAGAAAAGCTCTGAACCAGATAGCTTCACTGCTCAATGCTAGCAAATATTTAAAGAATTAGGACCAAGCTTCCTCAAAGTACTACAAATAATTGAAGAAATACTTTTCAACTCATTCCATAAGGTCAGCATCACTTTGATACAAAAGCCTGACAAACATCTCATGACAAAAGAAAATTACAGATCAATATCCCCTATGAATATCATGCTGCAATAATCTGTGACAAAATGTAAGCAAACTTAAATCAACACCATATTAAAAGAATTATATGCCATGACCAAGTAGGATTTTATCCTGAAATGCAAGGATGGCTCAACATTTAAAAACCAAGGTTAACAAATCCATTAAAAGAAGGAAGGAGAAAACTCACATGACCATCTCAATTGATACCAAAAAAGGTATTTAATAAAATTCAATGTAATTTCATGATAAAAACATTCAACAAACTAATACAGGAAAAATACATCAACATAATAAAGGCCACATATGAAAAACCCACAACTAATATCATACTCAAGGGTAAAAGACTAAAAGCTTTTCATATGAGATCAGAAATGAGACAAGGTGCCCACATTCACCGCCTCTCTTCAACATAGTATTGGAATATCTAACCAAAACAATTAGGCAAGAAAAATAAAAAAGCATCCAAAAGAAAAGAAGTAACATTACCTCTGTTTGCAGGTGACATGATCTTACATGTAGAAAACCCTAAAGATTCCACCAAAAAGTTATTAAAACTAATAAACCAATACAGCAAAGTTGCACGATACAAAACAACACACAAAAAAATCGACTGTGTTTCTATACAAAATGAACAATCCAAAATGGAAATAGCATCAATAAAATAAAATACTTAGGAATAAACTTAACCAAGGAGCTGAAAGACTTGTATGCTGAAAACTTCAAAATGTTGCTGAAAAACCAAAGGAGGGATGAAAAAATGGAAAGACATCCAATGTTCATGGACTAGAAGACTTCGTATTAAGATATCAATACTATTCAAAGCAATCTACAGATTCAGTGCAACGTGTACATAGCAAAAAAACACAATTTTTTTCAGAAATAGCAAATTCCATCCTAAAATTCATAGAAAATCTTCAGGAGACCCCAAATAACAAAAGAACCTTGAAGAAAACAACAAAGTCAGAGATCTCACACATCTTGATTTCAAAAATGTATTACAAAGCTATAGTAATTCAGAGAGTGGTATTACTATAAAGATAGACATATAAACTAATGAAACAGAATAGAGTCTAGAAATAAACCTTCACAAATATAGTGAATCAACGGGGAAAACAGCAGCCTTTTCAACAAATGGTGCTGGGAAAACTGAATATCCATGTGCAAAAGAATGAAGTTGGACCCTTATCTTATACCATATACCAAAATTAACTCAAAATTGAAGACCTAAACGTAAGACATAAAATTATAAAACTCTTAGAAGTAAACATATGGAAAAAGCTTTATGACAATGGATTGGACAATAATTTCTTGGATGTCACCAAAACACAGGCAACAAAAGAAAAAATAGACTTTATCAACATTAAAAACCTTATTACTAACATTATCAGCAGAGTGAAATGGCAACCTGTGGAACAGAAGATACAATGCAAGCATATATCTGATAAGGAATTAATATCCAGAATAAAGAACTCCTACAACTCAAAACATCAAGGTACCTCAATCAGTAAATGAGCAAAGAATCTGAATAAACATTTCTTCAAACATGATATGCCAATGGCTAATAATCACATGAAAAGGTGTTCAACATCACTAATCATCAGGGAAAAACAAAACCACAATGAGACACCATTTCATAGCCATTAGAATGTTCATAAACACACACACACACACGCATACACACACACCAGAAAATAACAAGCATTGATAGAAATGTGAAGACTGTGGAATCTTGTACATTGCTGGTGGGAATGTAAAATGGTATAGCCACTGTGGGAAACAATGTGGAGATTCCTCAAAAAAAAAATTAAACAAAGAATTAGAATATGATCCAGCAATTCCTATTCTGGTTATATAGTCAAAAGTATAGTATTTGTATACCCATGTTTGTAATAGCACTATTCATAGTAATTGCCAAAATACAAAATATGGAAGTAACTTAAGTGTCCATCAAAGGATCAATGGATAAAAAAAAAAAAAAAAAAAACATGGTACATCGAGAGGCCAAGGCAGTGGAACACTAGGTCAAGAAATCAAGACCATCCTGGTCAACATGGTGAAACCCTATCTCTACTAAAAATACAAAGTAGCTGGGCGTGGTGGCGCGGCCTGTAGCCCCAGCTACTTGGGAGGCTGAGGTAGGAGAATTGCTGGAACCCAGGAGGGCAGAGGTTGCGGTGAGCCAAGATCGCACCATTGCACTCCAGTCTGGGTAACAAGAGCGAAACTGTGTCTCAAAACAAACAAACAAAAAAACATGGTACAGGTTAAATATTCCTTGTCTGATTTGCTTGGGACAAGAAGTGCTTTGAATTTGAATTTTTTTTGGATTTTGAAATATTAAATATTTGTATTACACCAGTTTTGCATCGCTAATCTGAAAATCCAAAAATCCAAAACCTGAAATGCTCCAGTGAGCATTTCCTTTGAGCACAATGTCAGTGTTCAAAAATTTTCAGATTTTGGAGCATTTCAGATATTGAATTTTTGGTTTAGGTATACTTACCCCATAATACATACAATGAATTATTATTCCACCTCAGAAAGATGGAATTCTGGCACATGATGCAACATGGATGAACTCTGAAGATATTATGCTCAGTGAAATATGTCAGTCACAAAAAGTCAAATACTGTATGCTTCCACTTATAAGAGGTATACAGATAACTCAGAGACAGAAAGAAGAATGATGATTGCCAAGGGTTGGCAGGAGGGGAAGTTCAATAGGCACAGAGTTTCAGTTTCAGAATGTAAGAGTTCTGGAGAAGAATGTGGTGATGGCTGTGCAACAATGTGAATGCACTTAATGCCACTGAACTGTTGTGCACTTAAAAATGATTTAGAGCATTTTTAAGTGAGCAAGTGTTATACAGGGTGAACATCCCTAATCCCCAAAACCCAAAATCTGAAATGTCCCGAAATCTGAAACTTTCTGAGCACCAACAAAATGTCACAAGTGGAAGATTCTACAGCTTATGTGATGGGTCACGGTCAAAACACAGGTGCATGACACATAGTTAATTTATGTGTGATTAGGAAAGTGACTGCTTACTGGTAGCATTAGGAATGATGACGCCAAGAAAC